ACATGTTCACCTGTTAGTTTGGTTTTAAAATACAGGGGGATATTTGAAATAGATAGAAAATGAGTCCCCTAGAAGAAGGTTGATGTTGATACACATTTTATCAGATATCTAGTATATAACAACAACAATAATAATATAATAATAAACTATTATATTCCAACTCCTTCCTGCTTACAACCTACTTCAGCCCATGCTGGTTCCTTTGCTGCCTAGACTAGAGCAGGAATCTCAAGCTTTAGCAGGCTTTAGGATCATCACAGGTTATGGGGACCCACGCCCAGAGTTTCTGACTCTGTAGGTCTGGGGTGGGGCCTGAGAATTGACATTCCTAACTAGTTCCTGGTGATGCTGATGCTCCTGGTCAGGGGACCACATTTTGAGAACCACTGTTCTAGAGAAGTGTTTTTTCAACGCTGGGTGCACACTGGAGTTATCTGGGGAGTTTTAACCATTACTGGTCTGTGGGTCCCACTGAAACTACATCAGAATCTTTGAGGTCAGGGCCAGGAATCCGGTTTATAAAAGCTGCCCTGGTGATTCTAACGGGTAGTTGAGTCAAGAACCAAGGTTTATCCAAGTGTTTCTAAAAAAGTGTAATGTGTGCACCTGAGGATCTTGATAAAATGCAGAGTCTAATTCGGTAGCTCTGGGAGGGGCTCTCAGATTTTGCATTTTTAACAAGCTCCCAGATGAAGCTGCTACTGCTGCTCCAGGACCCATACTTCGAGAAAAAAGAGTCAGAAATGTTGTCTCCTTTATCCCCCTTCTGTGGATGTGGTTTTTCTGCAAGTCAACCACATGTCTACTAAATGATTCAGGTCTGGGGCACACATAGTTTTGGGTACTAGAACCTGGAGATGCCAATTTGATTTTGCTCTACAGGTCCCCTGACTAGAGCATGGACTCTCATGACTCATTTTGGGCAATGGGTTACCATGGCAACTTACAGAAACCTGCGCTTCAACCTGGGGGCTCCTGAACATCACTGCCAATCCCAGCAAGGGACCCCGAAGACACTAGAGAGTGTTAGCTGTGTAGCTGCAGCCGCTCAGAGAGCTCTGTGTTCCTTGAGAGATGCGGCTGACTTTGAGCCTCTTTCTCAGCAGCAGTTAACACTGACCCCTGTGCTGAGTTCAGAAATAATTCTCCCGCAGGACAAATAAACCACAGTGAAGAATGAACTGCCAGCTGGAGTTCAGGAGCCTTAGAACTGGTAAATTTACCACTGAAAGCAAGAGTACCAAAGGGATAGAGTGCTCTTTACCCCACAGGAAATTTTTAAATAAGAATGGTCCCTTCAGGTTAGTATATTGGTTTCTTACAAAAACAAATAGCATGCACACACTTTTAAGTTCACTTCCTCCCATTTTATTCTCTGTTGTCCTCAAATATCACATATGTACATTCTATTTTTATCAAGCCAACTGCAAAAACAAAGACCCCAAAATGACCCAAAACAGAGCCTTAAATTCAGTATTAATTTCCACCCCATTCCCAGCTTCTTATCTCCACAGGGGGGAAAGCCTAAGGCAGAAGGAAATAGTCTGGGGAGGCATAGTTTTGCCCATAGGAGACATCTTGCCCACCCAGCTGTTTTTTCCTAGAATCTAGTTTATTTCATTCCCTTGAACCACAGGTGCGGATGTGCTGGTCTCTGCCTCACTGGGCTGTCCACATGTCTTTTGTGAGCTCTTTATTCAGGGCTCTGTTGAATTTCACAAGCCAAGGAACAGGTTCTTTCAGGACACAAGCTGCAGGGACTGACATTTAGCTTATTCCCTCTGGTGGGACCTACTCTCTCCACGGGATGACAAGGAGAACCTTTGAAGGCATCCGTGTGAAGGGGCAGACATTTCATCATCTCCGCTTCCAGCTAGAGGAGTTATGGGCAACAGGGCAAGGCCCCTTGCCACAGGGAAAGCTCTGAGGCTTTTGGCTGACAGGTTCAGGTCTTCTGTGTCCCAGGGTGGTGGGCGTGACAAATCTATGTGTCTGAGTTTTGAGGCAACAGTAAATTTCTGTAGAACAACTTTATGGGCAAGAAAAGAAAATCCATGTTTATGAAACATATTCATGTTAGTGAATAAATTTCCTGGATCTTTCTGTAATTGTAAAGCGTTTGAAATAAGGTTTTGATTACTAAAATTTGGATAAGAAATCAGAAGCCACACAGGTTGGGGCTCAGATGGGTAGGAGCAGGGATGGCACATTTTTCCCCCTGGTGCTCCCCCAATTACTTTTTTTAAAGGTCAATGTTGACTTGATTGTTAATACTGTAAGGAATGGATTGCAGGTGACATAGTGTAAAAGCTAGATTGTGGCCTCCGCCAAGGAAATGTCAAACGGGACTCATTTTTCAGAAGTTAGCCTGGGATTCTTCGGAGAGGGGACAAAGGAGGGACAGAAGATAAAGGGAAAGAGACACTGGAGATGTCACGGGAGGGGAGAGTGGAGAAAAAGGGAGAGCTAGGAGGGAAGGTGGGGAAGAAGAGGTGGGGGAATTAAAAAGGAAGGTTGGTGTGTGTGTGGTGGGGGGTGGGGAGATGAGAGGAGGCAGAGGAAGTAGCAGAAAGCCAGGGGAGACCAACTGACATTTACTTAGCATTCACTGTATGTCAGGCAGTGGGCTTTCACATAAATTACTTCAATGACTTCTTCACAAAGACTCCGCAAGTTAGATGTATTTTAATACTCAGTTTTTAGATAAAGAAATGGAGGCTCAAAAGTGTTAAATAACTTGTCTGAGGTCACAGAGCAAGAAAAAATGGTTGGAAGTAAACATTTGTGTCCTTCCCAAACTCCTGCCCCTTTCTCAACACTGTATTTATTTGGAACATTGCCTTTGCATAAACTGAAAGAAACAGGCAAAGGAAAATCCTTTTGGAACAGTCTTTCATTGAAGCTGCACAGGTGCCAAGGCTGTTTTCAGTGGTGGTGGTGGTGGCGTGGGGGGAAGACTACATTTGGAACATTACAGAATTCTACAGTAAAGGTGATGTCTTATAAGGGTGACCTTAGAAAAGAAACTATACACCTGATGAGAAGCAGCCCTAGCAAGAACTGTTTGGAGCAAGGTATTTTCATTGCTCTGGATAAAGTCATAATCTGGACATGAGCAGTGCCATTTCATGCGGGAGCCATGCATAGCAATTGTCATTCTCCAACCAAATAGTCGACTTGCTTCACATCCAAATAGGATCCCACTATCTGGGAAGAACTGACTGATTTACGAGACTTCAAAAGGCATTTTCACTTTTTTTTTCCTACTAGAAAATCCAAATAAAGTGAGAACAAAGACCTACAACAAATCAAGAGGTACCAACGCATGACACATAGTAGGTGCTCAGCCATTACTGGTTGAAGTAATGAAAGAGTGTTCAAAGCATTCTTGAAGAAAGGGATCAATTATTTTCATGGAAAAAATCATTGCTGTATTAGGAAATCTACAGAAATAGTATTGCACATAAATGTCATTTTTAATTGGCTTGATTCTTGCTGGTCCACCTCCCACAGAACCAGGTCATCATAATCTACAGGATGATTACACCACTTAGGGCAATGTTTCTGGAGTTTGCTCTCTGGAACATCTATATCAGAATCACTTAGGGATCAGGTCCCTAAAATCTATTTTATTAAAATCCCCTGGAGATATGCCATTCGAACTAAAGTTTGACTACTAATATAGGGGTTGACCAGGTCTTTCTTATATACAATTACAGATTCAGGCCTATCTTTAACAGAATTTAATTTTTTTAAATGCTTATTTTTGAGAGAGAGAGACAGAGACAGAGACAGAGACAGAGTGTGAGCGGGGGAGGAGCAGGAAGAGAGGGAGACACAGAATCTGAAGCAGGCTCCAGGCTCTGACCGTCAGCACAGAGCCCGATGTGAGGCTCAAACTCACGAACTGCGAGTTCATGACCTGAGCTGAGGTCAGACGCTTAACCGACTAAGCCACCCAGATGCCCCACTTTAACAGAATTTAGATGCTGTGTATAAATTAGCTAAGACTCAGTTTGTACTGCTATAGATTCCAGACCAGTAGTTCCCAATATTTAGTATATGTGTCACCCCGGGAGTTTACTAAGTGGGAGATTCCCAGGCCCCACCCAAAGGCACTAGGTTGAAACCAAATCTTCTAAAGTTTAACCAAGTACCCCCATGTGATTCTGATGCATGTACTCTGATATGCTCACACCTAGTACAGATTTCCAACTGGAAAACAATGTGCCTGTCACATAGTTATACAAGCTCCGAAAGGACACTTTGTTAGGACTTTTACCACATCTCAAGGCAATAAACTCCATTTGTAAGTGGCTTTAATTGCCAGAAACTTCTTACGTTGAATTACAATAAAGTCCTGTTAATCTGTCTGTCTGGTTCTCTTAATTAGAGCTACACAGAAGACTTTAGTCCTCAATATTATTTTTAAGAAAATATATTTGACCAAGAAAATAAGTGCTTTTCTTCCTTCTGGATCCCTGTTTTGCCTCTTCAGCAGAGTGGGTAGGTGAGGAAAATAGACAGATCTGAACACGCATCCCTGATGAGAAGATATGGGCTTCTGCTACGTATGCTACAACGACGTTTCGAAAATCAAACACCTAGAACAACTTGGAATTCTCATTTCCTGGAGTAATATCACAATACACGGACACAAAACAAAACATGTCATTCTGAGCTGCCCAGGATGTGGGGCAGTTCTGTTTATCAGAATAATGAATAAGGAGTAAGGAGGGGCTCATTCAGATGAGGCAGGTGTCCTCCTGTTAGAAATCAGTGGGAACCCTCACGTATCCCGGGCACTCATTCATTTTTGTCCAGCTGCAGACATACAAGGGCAGGCATCTGGTTCTTACACCCGTGAAAGTCAGCTGTTAGGAGTAGATATGGAGAAGGGGACTGGCTGGCTGCCCATATTTTTATGGGCATGTTTCCAGGCATTTCACTGGGGCCTCCTCAGATCCTCACATTTGAACTAATTTGTCCCATGTGTATGCTTCCTTAAAAAACAGATATTTTATTATTCACAGACTTCAAAAAGAATTAGTTACTGGTAAAGTTTTAAAAAAGACAGCAAGAATAGCTTTGGACATGAAGGGAAGGGTACCCAGAGCGGCCATGGGGGTATTCGGTTTATCATTTAAAACAATGTGACTGGACAAGTTAAAAGAAGTCCGTGGCCCAATTATTCATTTACAAAATGGGGATAATAGTAAGTCACTTTTAGCATTGGCTATTATATGAGGAAACATAACATGTGTTCATTTCTAAACATCTGTTGGTACATAGTCACTACTCAAAACACAGAATGCCAGTCATTATTTGTCAGCATCAGTAATAGTAGTTGGTAGCCTGCCACACACTAACACCGGTTAGTTCTTTTTGAATGGTACTTAAAATGATTATCTAGGTCAGGATGAGCTAAAAGGAGAATACAAATGAATACAAACATAAATACATTAAATCTAGAAAATCGCCTTTGCCTAAATTTTCCATTCACGTAGGTAAGGAGAGATTGAATTTTGGCAGTGGAGAAGTAGAAGGCATTGTCTTGAGTAACTTGCCTGGTAAACATATACTGTTTCCCTTTTCCTTACATATTTCTTTCTGCTGCTGTAGCCAATTTTAGGGTACAAGACTCACACATCAGAAGTTTTAGTTTGTTTAGTTGTTTTTAATGATACAATTCTTGGATCGTTTATTCTTTGTGATGCGAAGTAAGAACAGGGGGGACTACAGAACATAAATGCGATGTTTTCTAAGAATGTCTGGGATGATTTGGCCTTAAATGTTTTCAAACATCAAGATAAAAGTTGAGTGAAGGCGTTTAAATCATTACCAAGCCAGCATCTGAATTTGCATGTTGGCTGAGATGCAGGGAGCATTATAGGTTCTAGACCATCTCCGGCATCTGAGCTCTGTAATCTCTGTTACTACTTTTTTTTTTTTTTTTTTCTGTTTGCGAAATGAGAATGGAAACACCTGCTCCGCATAACTTATGGCATTGTTGAGAACTTTACAGAAACAACAATGAAAACGCTGATCCGATGTAAGCTGGCTTCACTCTCACAAATCATTGCTCAGAAGTCTTGGCTCCATTTTGGAATTTTCACTGGTCTACAACCTCTCCTGCAAGCATAGCACAGAGGAAGGATACAGCCAAGGTTCTCTCCCTCATTTTGAGGCCAAAATGGCTTACAGGAGTTGTGATCTGATATTCCACACACCAAATTTGGGTACCTGAACAACACTGAGTTTGATGCCTGGAGGAGAGATATTTATGCTAGCACAGTGGGGCAGCCTTAATTCAGGTCGTTGGTGTGAATCAGCGGAGACTAACTAGGTGGAGCCTTCCCTACCACCGTGCCAAAGCCCACATATTTGACACTCAGTCTATGTTTTCATTTCATTAATAAAATATGACCTCACGGCTCTTTTGTAATCCCGAAGCGTGAGGGTACATTTGTTGCAAACCGCATGCAGATAAAAGGCGGGTTCCTTTTGAAACTACATCCTCTTAATAAATAATTTTTGATCTACTATACATAATAACGGTAGTGCATTTCTTGTTAAAACGGCAAGCTTTTTCTTTTTTACCAAAATGAAAAGAAAACATTCATTTCTTTATAAATATTTTAAATAGTTTAAATACATATTTCATACCAAGGATATAAAAATAGCCTCTCTTTTTTTTTTTTTCCTGATAAATAAAGACATGTTCATTTACATGGCAAATAACGTGCAATAGCTAACCACTGGCCACCAGCTCTATTTGACTGATTGTCTAGATGACATGCAGTGATAATTGTCCCTTTGCCTTCACAAAAAGAAAAATAGATCAGCGGGAGCTGTGCACTCCCGAGGCCACCAGAGCTATGGATATTGTTCGGGAATGACAAACAGGCACTCAGGAAAACCTTCGCTGCACTTCACAAAAGTCACCTAGGACAAAACGAATCCACCAATTCTTTGTCTGGGACTTCTAGCTGCTCAGACCCTCGGGGTCTCTGGACTTTTAAAAAGTCAGTCACACAGACCAGGAAGTGAATACCTGTAGAGGAAACTGCTTCTGCTAGGTTTCTAGGGTCTGGCAAGTGTTTGCTACGGCACGGATGTGGCTGTGCCTCTGGCTGGCTTCTGACGGTGCTCTCCCGCGGGACCCCCCCCCCGCTTTGCCCAGTCTTCACACCTGCCCGGGCAAAAAAGGCAAACTAAAGCTGTCATGCAGTGGTGGGTTTGAGACTGGCAGCTGCCGCACGTGCGAATATCATACGTTTATGGCTTTATTATCTTTCATTTCTGCTGTGCTTGTGACAACTTCCAGTGGAAAGTTCTCCAAGGGTTCAGTAGAGATTGAGGCCGCTCCTTCCCTGTCCCAAGATCCCGGCAGGTTTTCCAGACTGAAGGGGCTCGTGGCTCCCTGGCTGAAGCTGCCCTCCTCCGATCTGCTGGGGAGAACCAGGTGCAAAGAGGTTTCCGACGAAGAGCAGACGGAGGACGAGAGAGTCGCGGAGATGGACTGCAGAGGCGTCAGTGTGGAATCTGAATGTGGAGAGATGCACCTTAAAAATTGCAAGTGACCTTCCTGGACAACCTGGCAGTGGGCAGGTGAATAATCGAGGTTCGGAGAGTGGTAAAGTTCACTGTCTGCAGGATTTTGCTCATGAGCTCCAGTTCGCTGGGGGCTGCTCCCCACAGAGGAGGGATCCACACTCCAAATGTCTGAGGTGACATTACCGTGACAGAGTTGTGCTTGAGTATAAGCAGCTCCACCTGCTTGTAAGTGTAGGCAAGGCTGGTGCGCACTCCAGGTCGTCCTGGTCTGTAAGCTGTCCCTGGGGGGACACACAGAGGTGGTGTGCAGAGAGCAAAACCGCGACGGCGGCTGGGGTGACAGAACGTTTTCCAGAAGTTGCATCACATTCCTCATGTCCTTACCTAACTGGGAGACCTCCTGAGTCAATGTCGTCACCTGTGTGGACAAAGCAAAGCAGAAGGCAATAGTCAGAGGTGCGTGGTGGTGATTTCAGAGCAGCGAGGCAGGAAAATGAGATTTCTCAGTAGGAAGGTGCGAAAGGCCGCTCCACCGCCAACTCCAGCCAAGTCCAAGGGGTAGATGGAGAGGCTGGGCACCTGAGGTAAAGCCATCCTTATTCTGAGGGGAATCCAGGGAGACATTCATAGTCAGGCCTTCTGAATCAGGGACTCTGGGGTTCTTGAACAAAATTAGAGACATGGGTCAAGTATCTCTCGTATCTCTTAAATACAGGCAGTACCTCCTGCTTACTCTGAGTTAGTGGGATACACAGTGGTGCACACAAATCATCCTGGATGCCTCAGAAAACAGTATGGAGTGGTGGGGTTGTGTGTAAAGCACTCAATACACTATCTGTCCAGAGTAGATAGTAAATGATAGCGCTCACTTTTGTCACATGTAGTTGAGATCCATGGTTACTGTAGGTTCAGGGACAAACTGGCCTTCAGCGATGATGAAGGTGGTAAGCAAGAACCTACACCCCATTTGCCAGAGACAGAGTTTGCAAAAAGAGGGGAAACCACAGAATGGGAGACAGAAATAAGAACGACCTACAAGGCGGGTAGGTACAGATCAACACTGTGGGCAGCTTGGGGGCACGGGGGTCCATCAGTGAACGTGGAACCTTGTGGAATTATAACTCAGATTGTGTGGCATGTGTTTTATCCACTTTTCTAGGCAAGGCATTCAGCTTTTGTAAGATTTTCGAAGTAGACACAACTCTCAAACACTTAAGAACCACTGAAGAGTCTCCATGATTCATTTTACTCTTAAAACCAATAATAAAATTCGCTAGAGTTATTTGTTTTCTTACCAACCACATCACTTTTTTTAACCAAGGAAGCCCACCAGAAGATTGAATCTAGCTTTTTTTTTTGGGGGGGGGGTTACATTCTTCAAAGTGAAGAAAACCTGGATTTCAGAAAGCAGGATACAAACATGTATTTTCTAATCTTTGGTGAGCTCTGTAACACTAACATGATGTTGCAATACTTTGCCTTGATTGCTTTAAGACTATATTTTATAAAGGATCTTCTATGACTTGATTTACTATCATGAATCCTAAAACTCCAATATAAGCAGCTGAACCTACTGACTAAATATCATCAGAAAACAAAACAAAACAAAGAGAAGTGCAACTTCAGTGATGCCAAATCCAAGATTGCTGTTTTGTGCCAACTGTTTTCAACATTTACGTATACATTCCTAATTCATCCAGCAGCTTAATTCATTCCACTTCCTGCGAGTGCGTTCTGAAACTAATTCTCCCTGGCAGGCCCATCAGGAGGTAGTGCTGCTTGAATCAGGCATTTAAAAAAGGCCAGAAGGAGGTGTTTCCATGGTTCAGGCAACCAACTGGTAACACCTGCCTTGAAATTGCCAGGCCAAAAGTATTTCTGCCTTGCTGCTAGCATGGAACTCGAGGGACTCGATCGAATGCTTGTCCAGGCTTTTCAGCAGACCGAAACTTCTGGTCATAAAAAGATACCTCTGAGCCTCCAGTTTAAGGAGCAAAGCGGTGACCCTGAGAAGGGTGCTTTGCATTTTGAAATCTTCACTGCAGGTTGTCTAATTTCATAACCTGCCAAGCCTCAATTTTAAAGTGCATGGATCACACTTAAATCTGGATCTGGATCTTGGCACATGCAGACATGGGTTCCATCTTGAATTGATTAGCTCTTCTATCAAAATTTCAGAAGAGAAGGCTGACACTAAATGAGATGTTTGAAGGGATATATTAGCCGTCCATTTCTGTGGATTGTCTAAGTTTCATTCCTGTATCAAACTGACCAGGAGCATACTAGTTCCCAGTAAAAATGCTTTCAATAGGCCTTTTATTAGGATTGAATAAAGACACAGTCTTTGAAGAACCATTTTGCATTTTTGGCACACCAACAATTATGCCATTCAGTAAATGTTTGTAAATTTATAATACAATATGATTTTGGGTACCCTTTTCTCTACTGGATCTATAAACAGTGCTAAGATAGGCATTGATACATTATTAGTTCTCTACCTGTAAAGTGAGGACACTGAGGTCCAGAGGTTAAATGACATTTTTAAGGTCCCTTATTTCATGAGGGACAGTCCTTGATCTAGAAATCAGGACTTCTAAGTTTGGTGCTCTTTCTGTTATAGCATATTATCACATGGAAAAGGAGATATTGCTTAGGAGGTGAGAGAGTTTGCTAATGTGGTCAGAATCTGTGAAGAGCCCAGATGATACAAAAAGGCAGCTCATGTGTAAAAGCTATCTGAAATGTCAATTCATCATCAAGTAAGTAATTGGCATCATCTCTAAGAAAGTCAGAGACTGATTAAGTACAGCAAAATCTCATATCAAATTATACAAATAAAACCACAAAAATGGCGTAAAGCAAGGGGAAATCTGGAGCCAGACGATGGTGCAATGGACAGATTTCTGGTTAGGGTCCTAGATTTCAAAATAAATATTTTTCTATGGGCGAAATACCTTTCCAGGGCCACATTCTTGACATCTGACTTTTACTGTGCGTTTGCCACAACTTTAAGGTCATGAACTTTGAATGGGAATCCTGAGTCTTGACTGGCTCCAGGACTGTTAAAAAGCATTAACATTTCCAGAAAACAAAATTACTGTATCAGCTTGAACTCAAAGGAGCAAGGAACCTAAGGCAATAGAATTTTCTTTAGCTCTGGAGGGTAATGATCAATTTATATTAGGGAAGATTTCTGTCAGTGTCACTGAGGAAACACCACTGCACCTTATTAAAGTTACATGAGGGAATTAATCCCTGTTGGGTAAGGGATCTCTCCCTTCACAAAGACAAAGGCAACTGTCACAAGGAGAGATGGCATCTCCTGGAGGTGGATACTCTGGTGACACTGAAGGTGACAACAGACTGTCACAGAAAGTGCAGAAAGATTCACTGCATTTTTGTTTACTGTTTTCTGCTGGGTTTGCTAACTAAATTCATTCTAACACAGGGAAGACCTTATTTTCAATCAAATGTGGAAAGCAATGAATGCAGTGTCTCTACTGGTGAGGATCAATGCTTTTTTATAGCATGGTAAGAAGATGTGCATTTAGGGGCACCTGGGTAGGTCAGTCAGTTAAGTGTCTGACTTCGGCTCAGATCACGATCGCACAGTTGGTGAGTTTGAGCCCCGCGTCAGGCTCTGTGCTGACAGCTCGGAGCCTGGAGCCTGCTTCGGTCGGATTCTGTGTCTCCCTCTCTGTCTGCCCCTCGCCCACTCACACTGTGTCTTTCTCTCTCAAAAATAAATACACATTAAAAACATTTTAAGAAGATGTGCATTTGCTAAAGAGAAGGTTGTTGGGGCTCCTTTGTGAACAAGGCTCCATCCATTTAAGGAGATATGTCTTCAGAATACAATTTAAAAGCAGAGTACTACAGAAATAGGTCACTGAAAACAAACAAAAGCCATCCAGATCAAATGCACCAAAGTTTTCCCACCTAACTCAATAGTACTTAAATTCTTTAAATGTCTTCTGTTACTCATGTTAGAGGAGACAACCCCCTTTTGAGTGGATACCACAAAGCCCTTCACAAGCCCCATCTCATTGGCTGGTGGCTCCACGTCCTGAAGTCTCCCCCTTGCACACCATCGGACTGAACACAGGGAGCTTCTCAGCCCACTTCTCAGCATGCACAGCGTGCTCTTCTCTCTGACCGGGGGCTCTTCAGTTCTGCCCCTTTCAGCCTGGTGAGTTTCTTCTCTCCCTTCAAACTTCTAACCCCTCATTTTCTCTGCAGAGCTGGCTCCCGACAGCTCACTTAATCTCACAAAGCAGCCTGAGTATCATGTGGGACTGTCTGCCCTCCACTGACACTATAAATTCCTTGAGAGTAGATAGAAACTGTTACTTACCTCAGTATCTCCTGGACTCAGGGCAATGCCCAGAATATGCCGTGTACTCAGTATGTCTTGGATGTCTAAATGAATGCACGTCCTGCCATTTTGAAGGACTTGGCTTTCATATCACCTTCAATTTTTATTCTGTTGTGTCTCATGATTTTACCAGAAATATCCTGGGAGAGAGCTGCCTACTACAAAATTATACTGGGAAATCTGTAACTAACCCTCTTTGTCCCAAGTAAATATGTTTAAAGTAGGTATTATGACTTAAAGGTTTTATATATAAATTCCTTGGGTATTCCTTAATTTTTAAGAGCAGGTGGCATTTCCACTGCTAAGAATCTCTTTGATCTTGTGTTCCCTTCATAATTATAGAAAGGGGTCTCTTTTGGCCAAGGCTTCTGCTAGACTTTATTTACCTTACTGCCTTGTCACTTGTCCCAGCAAGTGACTTGATTTCCATGGTAGCTTTAATTTCCTGGGGAAATTGTCCCTATGTACTGACTCCCATGTTTCATGATTATATGATGCCAAGTGACAAACTTAATAAAGTTATCCAGAGTCGTTTTATCAGTTGAAATTTGGTAAGCTTCTTTGCATCCCTGGTTGCTACCCTAGCCTATTTTAGATGTGGCCTTCTGATTATTTGTACTTATGCAGACAAAATAGATAAACAAACCATAACCTAATACACATTATTCTCTTACTTGTGTATTCAGTTGCATTTCCTTTCTCCATTTTCCCCCCTTCCTTCCTCCCCATTCTCCTAATTCTTCTGTGAATTAAAACCCATCAGTCCAGGATGTAAAACTGTTAGCCAAACCAGCTCACCATCACCATCTGCAGAGCCAATTGTTCACATCCAAGATTTCTCCATCCCTTCCAAAGTCCCAACTGCTAGAAAGAAGAAGTGTTGAAAACACCATCTGTGCTCCCAAGTGGTTCAGTCTGCTATCCAAAACTTTGGAGCATCTAAAGATTCTTCCCTCCTCTGTTGTCCCAGTAACATGTATTTAACCACCCAAATCATTAGGTGTTTAGCAGGTTTTTGGGCAGTGCCTTTGGTCTTGTTGAGC